ATACCAAAGGTCATGCCCATTTCAGCATATGCAAGCAAGAAATAAATCTTTATTTATCATTCAAGCTGGGATATGAGTTTTTCTCCAAATAGAAGTCATTGGTAGTGCCCGTTGATGTTGACATCACATGTTAAGTTCTTATCAAATATTATCAACAAGTGGTTGGTTTAGAGATAAACTAATCGGTTTTAAGAAGAATTTCATATAATATATAAATTTTGAATCTTAAAATTATATTTATTAAAAAAATTAAAGTGTATCTCTTTCGTCTCAAATAAAATTAGATATCTAAATAAAAAAAATATCTTAGCATATATTTGAAACTAAGCTTATTTATACCTTATATAATAAAGTAATAAAGGTAATTCCATATCGTCTTTTTATAAGAAGATCACTTACAAACCTATTAAAAAAAACAAGAATATTTTCACTTTGAAAATATATATCTCTCTCTTTTATATATCTATTTCTCTTTTATAGAGTAGATATTGTTAATCACTTTGAAAATAAGATAAAATTTCTCTTTATGGTAACCTATTAAAAAAGACAAGAATATTTTCACTTTGAAAATATCTCTCTTTCTTTTATATATCTATTTCTCTTTTATAGAGTAGATATTGTTAATCACTTTGAAAATAAGATAAAATTTCTCTTTATGGTAACCTAAATCTATTTTTTCTTTCTCATAAAAAATGCGATGACATTTCATTTTTTCTTTTATTTGTTGTTTAAATGAAGACTCAAATCATTTTATATTGAATTTGAATTTGAAAGAAACTCATGAGGAAGAAATTTCTCATGAATGCAAGGAGGTAAATATTTTGTCTGAATCATTTCATTATAAATAGACTTAATTTTGGCACTTGAAACTTGTATTGGAATATCTAAAACATATATATATATATATATATATATATATATATGTAAGTTATCAAGAAAAACTTCATAAAGTATTCATCACTTCATGCTTTGTTTATTTAAATTTAGTTATATAGATTAATTGATATATCGGATTAAATTTAATGCTGCTTTCATTTTTAACTTTTAAATCACTTAAAATATTGTTTAATTGATTCATAAAATATTTTTTTCAGTAATAACGATGTTCCCGAACCAACTTTCGCAAACCTTCGGACTAATCTCTCTTTGTTCATGGGTAGGGAGCATTCTCTAACGCATTATATTGGGTATTCTAATAATAAATTCTCAAGAATATTGATCACAATAATCAAATTTTGAACATGATCTATAAGTTGATGTTTGCTTACGAGCGAACTACCATCTACGTAAATACAATTTTAATGCAATGTCTTAGGTATTCTAAAAATAAATTCTTAAAAATACTTACTACAATGATTAATGAGATATAAGTTATCAATACAAACTTCAGAGGTATTCATCACTTCATGCTTCATTTATTTAAATTTAGTTATATAGATTAATTGATATATCATATTAAATTCAATATCGCTTTCATTTTTAATTTTTAAATCAATTAAAATATTTTTTAATTGATTCATAAAATATAATTTTTTCAATAATAACAATGTTCTCAAACCAACTTTCGAACTCCTTCGGACTAATCTCTCTTTGGTAATGAGTAGGAAACATTCTCTAACACATTGTCTCGTGTATTTTAATAATAAATTCTCATGAATATTAGTCACAATAATCAAATTTTATACATGATCTATAAGTTTTTATTTGTTTACGAGTGGATTATCATCTATGTAAATACAATTTTAAAATATTATCTAGAATATTTTAAAAATAAATTTTTAAAAATACCAACTACAATGATAAAATTTAAACATATTCTATAAATTGATATTTATTTATCAACAAATTACTATCCGCGTAACTACAATTTAATAGATGAAATATAGAATAGTAGGCAATTCCCAGCTATTGATGGTGCGCCAAATTTCTTTAGAAGTTATTGCAATCACTGTTTATCGTAACATCAAGCATATCTTATGGATGCAATATTGATAGGGTGCCAAATTTCTTTAGAAGTTATTGCAATCACTGTTTATCGTAACATCAAGCATATCTTATGGATGCGAATGAATCAGCAGATGACACTTATCGAGTAATCATTCCTTCTTTTTTTCCATCCATTAAATCATCATTACTTTTAATAGATACTGGTGGTTTCCTGAGTAATTGTGTCGGTTTCGTCCTAAGAATTAACATAAGTTTTCACAGAAAAATATTAATATTTAATTTATCAAAGTTTGTGTGTGTGTATAGCTAATATAAAGCAGTTATTTATAGAGAAAAAAATATTAGAAGGATATAATTTATCATCTAAGATTATAAACTAAACTAACAATTTTTTTACATATTATGACATTTTTTCAAGTTATTTTGTGAATAATGCATTATTAATTATTTCATACCCTAATTATGAATGTATTATTAAATATGAAAAAAATGTATTTTTTAAATGTGATTTCAGTGGAAAATGTTCAAATTGGCTTTGATTTATTAGCTAAGAAAATTTTTAAAACTTTCCAACTAATTTTATTACCTAGCTAAATATAAAGTTCTTTAATTTAGAAATAATAATCTTATAAATATATAAGAATAGATGTGATGCTCAAGTTCCTATTGAAAAAGAAGAATTAATAAACGAAAGTTAGTCTAAAAATATTTTTACATTATAAAACTAATGATTTCTTTTGTTCATTAGGATTTAAGAGAATTAATTTTTTTTTTTTTTTAGCTTTTATAACTTAATTATCACCCTTATAACTAAAAAAAAAGTAAATATACATATATGTCCTTATATAATACTCAAAATGTTTCATTTTTCTTTAGATTTTTAATTGTATCTTTTTTATTTTTCAAAAAATTAAAATGTTCAACTTGTCTTTCCAATCAATTTTTCTAAAAATATGAATTCTTTTAACTAAAATGCATTTTACTAAAATACAAAAAAAGAAAAAAAATCCATTGAAGTCACATAACTTGTATTTTTTTTAAAAGTGTTTAGAATTTTTTTAATTATTATTATTATTACGTTTCAATTAGGATTATTTGGGTCAAAAAAATCATATGATCAAAAAAATTGATCAAAGTGATAGATTAACCATTTGAAACACTTTTCGGGAACATATGAGATGCCATTGAAATTTTAAAGACAGATTAAAGATTTAACTATTATATAATAACATATTGATATATTTATCTCTGAAAAATACACCTTTTTTTTTTACTTAGGTATTCTAATTCTATATTGAAGATATAGCTAACCTTATTCACAACGAAAACGATAAAATTTAATTCTTTCTAATAAATACGATTTCAAAATTTAAACCATATATATTTATCGAAATTCATCGCATATCTTTAAGTCAATAAATTATCAACGAAAGACACACCTTTTAAACTTTCATATCAAATTTCATCAAGTTATAATGCCTACCAATAATTTTTTTCCCTTCACTTTGGCACTAATAAATTGCAAGGTCACATGCAAGTGAGCATCATCATAACGCAATAATTTCATCACACTTCAATAATAATAATAATAATAATAATAAATGGGTAATGGTATTGAAAAGTTAGGAATAGAAGGTTCCTAATAACTAAGCCACCTCAACACGCTTGAGAATCATGCATAATCGTTTTTAGTCAATTTATCATTCATTGAAGTTCTTGGATCCTTTTCGATTCCACAGTTTTGGCACTACAGTCAATGTGATTTACCAAAGCACAAGTAAAATGTCATTCTAGAATCTTAGTTGGTGACCCATATTCAACACATCTTAGGGTTTTACATTTCAAGCTCCCCCACCTAAATTCAAAGAGTACACGGAATTCTTTGTCCAATAACTTCAACAGAAGCTTATGGACAATGACAATCTCCCCCACTTCATGCCACTTGATAGAAAATTCTAATCTTTGGAAGTATGTTCCTTCTTTCCACTTGATAGAGAATTCTAACCTTTGGGAAGTATGTTCCTTTTTTAGTCATCATGGAGGTATGCTTCCTGTTAAGTTATTTGGGTTCAGGTCTTATGTCAACTAAAGCTACAGTGAGTAAAATGGTTCTTATAAATTTTCTAGTCTTTTCATGAATCATTGTTCAAAAAAAAAAAAAAAAACATCAGAATTCAAAAATTTAAATTGCTAGATAAGGTTTTAAAGATGATTTTATATAGCATCTCTAGCATAACGAAAGCTCTTTAGGTTTAAAATTTGCACATATTCACTATTAACAAAATAGAGATAGTGAGATTTAAACTTTTGATTGTTCCATTGTTAAAGCTCAATCTTAACATGAATGGTTGTCTAAAATCGATCTCAACTCAAAATTTTAAGTCTGTTAAATAAAGCTTTAAAAATAGTTTTATATAACATTTTAAACATATTTTCTTAAGTTTAAACTCGTTAAATAAAGCTTTAAAAATAATTTTATATGACATTTCTAACATATTTTCTTAAGTGAAAGTCTTTCGAACTTGATTATTTAACTGTTAAGGCTAAGTTTTAACATGAAAGATATCAAAAACACATCTTAACTTAAAAATTTAAATTGTTAATTAAGACTTTAAGAATAATTTAATATGACATCTTTAACACACTCTTTTAAGTAAATTTTGATCATTAGACTCTTAAAGTTTCCATATAATGTCAAAAAATTATTCAATTTAAAAACTTAATACGTTTAAGTAAATTCTGATTATATTACTCTCCAAACATGACACGCTTTTGACTAAATTGAGAGGCAAATTTGATATAATAGAAGCGAACCAAAAATACCTCCGAGAAAAAAAAATAAAAATAAAAACAAAGGATAGGAAGTAAAATCATGGCGGCTTTTTTTTTTGTTTTTTTCGTCTCGTGCAAGCAAATTGTTGGAATCAACTCAATCTGAAACCTTAGCAAATCATCATAATTTGATTTAAATCTATATCGCAAAGTACAAGAAGTTCATACATTCTTTAAACCAAGTCTGTGCATGCAGGTGCCTGCATGAATGTCTACAGAGTCTATACAAAGTCCCATCCTAATCCCCTTGAACCTCTCCTCTCTGACTCAAAAGTGGAAACCATGGCAAACAAGATGCTGTTGGACACAGGGACACAGCCAAGGGCTAATGTTATATGCAAATCAAATCTTCCATAACTTCTGGTTGAGTCAACAAAACCTATGAATGAAAACCCCAGTACTGTCCTGGACACAACACTGCTTGTAATTAATCAACCGCTGGACACCATAGATGTTAATAAACACAGAAGAACCATGTTAGAAATTAGAACCAGTCCCCCTACGTTGACAATTGTTAATTTTAGCTGCGGACGGCAGTTCATCAAAAGGTTACAGGGCTCACCATCAAACTCGGCCTCAGCACCAATTAACTTTTGAGGAGCTCATTATATTAAACTAAGCTTAGCTATAACCTCTTCGAAAGGGTTTCTACAGTTCAGCAGTTTGACAAAAGAATCCTTTGGCTTCTTAGCAATGTTCTACTGGATCTAGCAAGTACATTGAGGCATTTTAAGAGGAGCTGACTATAAATTGCTATTGATACAACAGGTTGTATGCTGGTAAATCTTTTATTCGATGTACGTCTTCTAAAGATAGCTCCCTCTCCAACTGTGTTCTTGTTACTTGTAAAACCTCCTGCAGGAATGAAAAACAATTAAGCAGAATTCACTGAATTGCCTCCTTACCATAGGGTCACACGCAAACCGACCCAAAATATGTAGGCAAACTTCTAGATTCACTGATGTTGAAAATATAATGTTGCTCTCAAATCATGGCTGAATAAATGCTGAAGTTCAAGAATATAGTATTCTGCTGAGATAGGGGCGTACATTGAACTCCATGTAAGAAGCACGCATTGCAAGCCACTGAGCATCCATCATTTCAAAAGCTATACAGAATAGTACATCAAAGGCAGACTCATCTTCTGCAATTGTAAACATGCTATTATGAGCATATGTTAAAGAAGTTTAAAAATCAAATTCCCTTTTCATAAGTTGAAGAGTAATTGAGCATAATATAGTTATGGCTCTCATCTCATTACCTCCTAGTAATTTAACAAAAGTGACTCCTGGAAGACATCTTGGTTTTTCTGCAAAAGAGATGACAGGAGAGATCAGTGGAAAATGACAGACTGACGCCATTACATCAAAAAAATTATGTACATATTTATATTGGGTGGAACTATTCATGCCTACAAAAGGAAACAATAAACTTAAAGCACTGATGCTGTTTCAATTGCCAGTATCTATAAAATTTTAGGCTCTAAAAAGGAAATTCTAGCGATGAAAGGGATTTTGGGATAACCCATTGATTTTAAAACTACGATCCGGTTGTCCTTAAACACGTGACTTTCACTTTGTTACAGCATTGATGGGAAAGGAAAAAATAACTAGGAGATGAGGAGAGCATGAAACAAAAGGTTGTACTTTCCCACAGTGTAACAAAGCTCAGGGAAAGTAAGGTTTTCAGAAACACTGAAAAGAAAGTGTCAATTTTCACATTCCAAAAATATTTTATCTTCACTTAATAATCAAAACAATATGTAGCAGTTTTAATTTTTTCTATTTTTGGTTAATACTGAGAAAGAATTTCACATCTTGCAAATGGTAATTGAACATTTCTGCATACCTGACTGTAAATCCAACATCTGGATCAACATAAACGAAACATTAATGCCAGCAACAGCAAACGGGTATTCCCAAGTAGCTCGCTGCCCACCCTGCTTGAACAATAACCTACGAAAAGATGCCTTCATTTTGTATTTTCATAATCAGTAAAAATCATAGCTCACTTTCTGTGCAAATTCATACTTTAGGGAAACTGGAAATAAGAGAGCATGAATTGGCTTTGATGGGAGAAAGTAAATAAATTCTTGCGCAAATCTTGGCAGCAGTCTAAAAGTCTTACCGGATAAGTTCTTGAAAAAAACAGCAAGTTCTCAAGAGAAATAAAACCGCAACCCCTAAGAAAAAAGTTAGAAAAATATGAGAGGAATGCAACTGGTGCTGCATAATTTCAAGATATGGCATGATGATTGAAGTAATTTGAATAAGATCATGTCCTAAAGATGCTTTACCACTCAAGTACTTCCATGACAACAGAAACAATCAAAATTTTCTACTAAGGAAAGCACATTTGGAAGTTTATTGGAGACAGCATTTTTCTTTTATGTCCTGTAGCATATGCAAATATATGTTCATCTTCCATGAAGTAGGCATTACCAGGAGGATGGATTTCATATGAAAATATATATTCATCTTCCATGGAATAGGCATTTCTAGGAGGAGGAAGATGGATCAGAATAACATAGAACAATGCTATCCTGGTTATATGAAGAAAAAAGAAGAAAGTAACTTTTTGAACTGATAATACAAAATGGAAAATATCCTTCTCAGGAGTTCTTACATGCTAGCACAGATATGTTCATTTTTTATGTAATTAATTCTATCCTCAGGTTAAGGAGGATTACTAAATGAAATTATCGATTAAACCTCTATATTGATTCACTTCTTTTATATAACAGAATTCATAGTGTCCTTATAAGAAAAGGACAGAAAAGAAGCCTACTTAAAAAACTTTACCTGAAGTCAGTTGATGGATTAGCACCTTGCCAACCCATGTCTTTCCACTGCTCAGATATCAAGCCTTTCAGAGGAATATCTGGAAAAGCTGCATTCCACAATGATCTGAGAGCTTCCTGACAATGAGAAAGAATAATGAGGTCTGGTCGTTATAATATCAAAGATTAATAATGGTGACATGCATGAAAGATGATAGTGTCTCATCACAAACAATAGATTATGTTTGTCAAAACCAGTCAAAGATGAAGTTCAAGAAAAACATTCTAACAGAAATCATGTTATATAAAGAAAGTACTTGATGATCAGGGCGTGTCTCATCAAAAGGTGCTCTCATTCGTTCTTGAAGCTTTTGTAGTCTTAGTTCCTGGTAAGAATTAAAGAATAAATTACAAGTTTAGTGAAGCTGAGCATGGCATGTTAAATCATATTATCACATAACCGTCCTAGCAATGATCACAAATCTAAATTCTGAATATTGCAACATAAATTCCCTGAACTGAAGCCCTAGAGAAAAATTCAATGTCTGGGCCTATTCCTAACTTCATGGAACCAGCTACCTGCAACAGTTGGTTCCACTCCATGAATGCCACAATCAATTTTGACTACATACACACGCTGACACACACAGAACTAAGAAACAGGTGAGTCGGGGTGGGGAGGTGGGGGTTGTGGGTTTTCTGCAAGTGTGTTCCCATCCTTCTGTATGGGATTAGGGCGAAAAGGCTCATTGCTTGACTTAAAACTTCTACTTACCAGATGAGGAGTCAGGCAGAAGTCAAGAACTTTGTCATTGCGTTTATATGAGCGAGTAAAGAGCCCTGCTAGCCATGAACGTGGTCCAACCATAGCATTAGCTACAACCATCAGCAACTGATCAGTGAAATGTGAAACATTACTTCAATGAAATTATTCAAGCTGGATGAATCTTATAGTAATGTTGAGCGGTCTTATTCACATGTCCTAGATTTATAACAAGCCATTTATAGTAGTGTCATGTTATAAAGCTACATTAGTTCTAGTCCTTAGATTCTATGACAGGGAATTAACATAATGCTTTCAACAACAAATAGCAAAGCACCTTCAATATAAAGGAAATATAAGTTTTTTACATCAGTTAAGTTGAGATTGTATTGTGAAGAATGCTAAAACCGCTAGTCATAGGTTATTGTCTTCTAACATGAATGAAAGAAAGCTAGGCAAGGCACCTATCCATTCAGAGAAAATTGAAAATAAGCTAAAGGGAAAAAAAAAGAAAAAAAAAAGGAGCACTATTAAAATCCAAAATGGTGTTAGCATTAAAATATTCTTAATTTACTAACCTTTAAACCACTATATTGTTTAAGGTCTTTAAGTTAACTTGACAACACCAATAACCCATTAGTCAAATATTTTCAGCGGCTTGCTAAGAGATCTAGGATGTGTCTGGTAGAAACATTAATGGAGCATAATGTAATATGATGGAAGAAGACAACGGTAGCAATTTCCTTCTTGCATATTGCATCATCCCACACTCCACATTGCCAAATGTGCTCTGTGAGATTGAGAATCAAGGCAGTGCAGGTAATTTTAAGGAAAGAGCCCTTCCTAGTTATTAAGCTATGTAATGGTAATCATTATCAGCCCAGAAAATAATAAATTAATCGCATTGAAATAATAGCATGATAATAATGCCATGAATGTTCACAATATAAATTAACCTTGGCATGTGACTGCACTAAAAATATAAATCTAACATGTAGCAAATCCTTATGATATAACAACACTAGGGGGTATTCAGAAGAGAATAATGAAATTGTACTTACCAAAACATTGAGTTAACTGCGAAATAACGTGAGTGGAATTATGTGACCATTCCAACTCTTCACTACTCTTCTTTCGTTTCCAATAAACTTCATCCTCATCAACCTACATTTCATGTTCAAAAGGTTTTTCAGTATCAAGTATTTGATACGGATTATACACGTCACTAGACACACATTCCAAAACCATAAAAATATCGGATTTCTCTAAGTTCAAGATTAACTGTCTGATTTTCTTAACAAAATCAGGCACGAAGATCAAAATAAATGTATTCAATGCAGAGCATAGAGACACTCCTTAAACAGGCTACGAAATCAAAATAGTTCACAAACAAAAAGGAGAGCTTCACTCATGAAAATAAGGTTTTGAATTCAAAATTCTACACCCTTGAGAGGACACAGGCTAACTAGATGTCAACACAGGAACTCACAGTCTAATCGCTAATAGTTAATTCACCTATGCGCGCAAACAAAAGGCATAATGTGCATTATTAGGAGACTCTTAATACCAATTAAGGACTAACTATTCTAAAAAAGACTAAAAAATGTCTTGAGACAGAAATGAATATGCAGACAGTAATCAATGGCAACATTAAACACTCCAATTATAACGAATTGGTTCATTAACCAGCTGCAAAAGACATTACAAAATACTAACAAAAAAACACATATTTACCAAATGGGATTTCCTAAAAGTCTCTAAACTATCACCACTAGTCAAAAGAAAGACAGATTTACAAACAGAAGTGCGATTCATTACTCTGTGAAGAGAAGAACAGGAGGGAAAGCATTGTCTACTCTTCCTTAATCTCATGAGGTGACCAAAAAAAAATTAAAGCTTTAGTTCTTTTACTCTTTCTAACCAAAAGCAAAGGACCAAGAGACAAAAAAGAAGGCATTGAAAAAATAAAAAAAAGGTAGAAGAGTGACATATGATTGCAACCAAACCATGCTCTCATAATATTCAACCACGCATCATTTTCTCTCATTAAGTCAAGAAATGCAATGATGACATAAACACAGAGGTGCCCGGAAGCTAACTTTTTTGGAGAGGCAGAGATTTAACAAGCGCAATTAATGGGATCTTTATGCATCAACTTTTGCAATACAAAAAAGTTTGAAACTTTTCCAAAAAGCCTGTCTGTGCAATAAAAACAGCAAACAAGACAAATTTGGCATATCCCCAACAAAACAAATAAGCATACAAAGTTAAGAAGACAACAAAAATGGATCAAACCTTTTACGGGGTTTGAGGGAATGGCATTGTGGCGGTGGTGGTGGTGGTGGTGGTGGTGGTGATGTGATTGATGTTAAAATATCCGCAGAAGGGAAGTGAAGGTGAGACAAAAACTGGGTTTCTTCAACGAAGGGAAAGAGATTGAAAGAGAAGATTGAGAAGGGCATTCTGTTTCGGATGGATTTTGGGATTCAAACAAAGTTTGGTTATTTAGGAAAGTTTAGTCATTTTGTCTTGTCTTGTCTATCTTTGGCTTTGAAAACCAGCCAATTTCCTACAAACTTGGCTACACCGTAGGTCTCGGGTCAGTCAGCCAGTCAGGCTTTATTCCATTTTGGTTAGAAGTAGGTTTGGAACTTACGTCTTAGGTTTTCATCATGCTAAACTATAGTTTATTACCACTTACAAGTCTAATCATGTCTCCTAACACAAGTTAATTTATTTTAGGCAATCATATGATGCTTCCATTATATTTATGTCACATTTCAGAACATAAATCTTCTAAAAAATCTTGGCAGTGAGTGTTTTACCAGTGAACATATACCTTATTTGTCAATTCTTGGAACAAATAAATTTGGCTTCTTCAAGAAATTGAAGTCTTAACTTGGCATTTTAGGAAGAAAATTTAACTAATGGAATTCCTTTATGGCCTTCTAGGAAGAAAATCTTAAAGGCTAGGAATGTGCTTGATTTAAAAAATTTAAGCATGAGGTAGCATTATCAAAACAAAATCTTGTCACCAACAATAGTAAACAAGCTGATTCTTTAATAAATTTTACCTTCGTATATAAAGTTTGAATATTAAAATCATCCTTATTTCGTTACGATTCTGAACAAATTAGTGGAACAACCAAGGGAAAAAAAAAAAAAACAAAACAAGACAAAAACAAAACCTTGTCACCTCCAAAGCAGTTGTTTAGGCTCAAGATGTAAGGAAAACAAGGCCCATGTTCACAACCAACAAACTAACAGACAACACATCAACCAAGTCCAAACTCTATGGGCCTCAATGCAAGGCCTGTTGATGCTATGACCAAGAAAATGAGGTTGTGCACAGAGGAATTTGGAATCAATTCTGCCAATTTCTTTTGCAAGTCCAGTATGAGGCTATGACGCCAGATTTTGCTGACAGAGTGTTTTCGTTTTGGCAGAATTGGGATATTGTTTCCATTCCCTGAGCAAACTAAAAGATTTGCTGCTCTTAGTGTCTGTCATTATTTCTTTCAAATATATCTCAAATTTATTTATTCTCGTTTAATCTTCAATTTCTTCTTACATTTTTAATTACCTATATTATATTTTTAAATAATATTTAAGTCTCTAATATATCTTTTGATTAATATTTTTTATCATGAATACTTTTTTTGACCGAAATATTCTTAATTAAAATGCTAAAAAAAATCATTTAAAGTCATATAACATGTACGTTTTTAGAATTTTTATTTGTATTTTTTACATTTTAATAAAAGATATTTCGGTTAAAATATTTGCTCATGATCGAAAAAATTAATCAAAAAATTAAAAATTTAAACATTATTTAGAGATATAATATATACAATTAGAAATATATGTAATGACAAATTAAAATCTCAGATATTAAAAATGAAATAATGTTGTTTCATTTCAACTTTTGAAATGGAAATTTAAAATGTTGGAGGGGTATATATATATATATATATATACACACAACCAAAAGTTCAAATTTAGACTTCTTCAAATTTTAATTAATTTCTTTTTTCTTGAATAGAAAGAAATGGATTTATTTATTTATTTATTTTTGAGAATAGAAAAGAAAAGGCTTTGAATCTGAAGTTATTGTATAATTTTCCCATAAGTTACACCATTCATTATCTTGATAGGAAAGTTTGTGGATGCCAATTAGATTATTTGTGCCTTAGTCACCACAAAATATCAAATTATATGTGCAATGCTAATATCAATAATCTCATAATGAAAATGAAACTAACTCTCTGATTACACAAAGAAAGGCATGTCTACAATACAAATGTAAAATTGGAAGAAAAAAATGAGGAAAAAAAAAAACCCAAAACCAAAACATGGGATCCTAAATCTACTAGTTAGACCAAGTTAAACATTCAGTGAGTTAAGTCATGGGAGAGACTACACTCTCACCCCAAAAAAACAATACAAAACAAAAAGGGGAGGGTCATGGCTCATGGGACAGGGTAAGACTTGTTATGACACATGCACTTGTAAGCCATAGGACAAGTCTCAGCTTCTTCAAGTGAAGCACAGATAAAGCTGACCATTACTAGTCTACATGGTGAGCATGACCCACATGCATGAGAACAATCAGGCAAGCTTGATCCTGCAATTTGGACAGTATCAGCACCCCTTCTCTTTGTTGGCCACCTTTCCCTGTAGAAACTGGGTTTGTCTATACTTCCATCTTTAATTCGAGGCTGTGTTGAATGGTGGTGCCCATGGTCTGTTTAGCATTAAAAGGAATAACAATTAGCTAGTCTCAATAGAAACCCTAGCAAAAAGCCGGAAAAAAAAAATCATCTTAAAATAACTAAAAGAATAAATCAAAGGGAGAAGTTCGTACGTGTTCGTGGCCTGCCTATATGCCTTGCGGATATAGCAGTCGGAAGTAAAATGAGAGCAATGACAAATGCTGCCACAAAAATCTTCATGGCTAATTGTGTGTTCTTCTTTCTTAGAGTACGTTAATAATTAGTAAAGTACTTGTGTGTTAGAAGAAATATTGAGACAAAGTTGTGAGAGCAGAAGAGTGGAAGTACAGGAGTATATAAGGAGCTGGCCAAAAGGAGATAGTATTGAAGCAAATCACAGACAAGAGTGTGACGAGAGAAGATCACATGAAAAGGGATGCTCAAGGCAGGTTTGTGAACAGTAGTCACAGGACTCAAGCCTTAACATGTGTGTGGTTCCATGGAAGAAAGGTGAAATATATAGACTGAAAGAAAGAATTAACTGAATTCAAGTGCTTTTTTTACGTGACTTTCTGACTAACTACTTAGGGCATTGCTTACATAGCCATAAATGCTTGGAGGGCTTTTCAAATTTTATTGAATTTTTTGAAGCTTAAATGCATTATAGGAGCTAATAAATTTGGCACTGTAGATTAAATGTGATTGACATTAATGCCTTCTTCTTCCATGGTAGATGTAATATATGCTCAAGTTTGGACCACCTTCAAGCTATTTAATTCCAAGAGGTTAAGATACCTAGTTCTATACAAATCTTGGCCTATCCATCAATTGGGGTATCCATCATTTACTCGGAGATCATATCCACTACTATCCTATAGTTAATATGTAGCAAGGTATATTTGAATTAACTTTCACATCAATCCCAATTAGTTTGTCATTTTTTCAGTTAAACCAACGTTAGACTATATTTATTCTTTGGTCGATTACTAAATTTCTTTTTAGACCAAATGAGTTCAAATTTGATATAACTAAAGGATAATTATAACTAGTTATTTGTATACAATGAAAATTGAACCTTAGTCTTGATCAAATCAAAACAATTCTTTTTAATTATCGGTAGGCCACATATCTTGATCTGCGGTTAGTATTTTTAGAAGATCAATAGTTAATTACCATATGTTTGCAATTGATGGTCCAATATTTCCAATTAATTTCTATGGTACCAAAAAATGAATTATTTTGCATTTTTTTACACCAAGCTACTCTGTATGGGATGACCCCCAACTACAAAATTAATTAAGCTAGAGGTTCAAAATTGAAGAGGAAGGGCCAAAATACTGTTGTAGTTAATCATTGTCCTCTCTTTTTGACAAGAAATGAATTTTAGTGCTCTTTATGCATGCATTATCGCTTCTCCTACTCGTGGAAATCATTCATCTTTTAGGTCTATTCGGTGTATTGAAAGTACAAATACAGTTGTTTTTTAGCTAGAAAAGTCGATCCAATGTACTGCATGCCCTTCAAATTCTTAATGGGACATGTAAAAGGACAACATCCTTGGTTTTTTTTTTTTAGCTAGAAAAGTTGATCCCATGTACCGCCCTTCAAGTTCTTAATGGGACATGCTAAAGGACAACATCCTTTTTTTCACACTCGTAAGAACCAATTAGCATAAAACCTGAAAAGAAAAAAAAAAAAAACATTCTCCGACACATATATTGTTTAGAAAAAAAAGTCCAAGCATTGTCCGACGCATATACTGGTTTTTTTTTTTTTGATGGGCCTACTAGTTTCGGCCATAACAACACCGTTACGGCCAAAACCAGTAGCCCATCAAAACAACCTGGGCCACTGAGACCCACTCATAACATCAGAAATCAATCCTAAATCACCTACAAAGGCTGAATAATAACACAATTATGGCGGAAACCCGTAGGCCCATCTAAACAACCTGGGCCAATGAGACCCACTAAAATTACAATTTGAGAGCCCGTTTAGAAAACCCAAGTTATGGTGTGTCAAATTGACGGCTAAATCCGCGAAACTTTATATTATTTACGAATCAGTACCCGTACTCTTAGTTTTTGTTTTGACACTTTTATACTTTTTATATATTTAAAAATTAAGTTATTCTGTTATTTTTTCAAAGATTCCTTCCGCATTAATATCAGCATATAACAGCATAATTGTTGTATTTTATGAGAAGATATACGGTTCTAATACATGGCAACAGCTTATTCTGTTATTAACTAATCATGTTATACCACATGTTAAAATAATACAAAGTGAGATAGGTTCCTTAAGAAATCTTTTATATATATATATATAACAGTTGTTAAAAAAAAAAAAAAAGGTATCATAGCATCCTAAATCAAAGAAGAAAAAAGAAGAAGAAGGAAAAAAAAAAAAAAAGATAGCATGTCAAATCAAAGAATTTATTGCTAACAAATACTAAAAATCCATTTGATAAAGTCCTAGGTAAAATAATCTAATTATATTCAAATATTTTATCTTCCATTTGAATAGCATATTAAAAATAAAATCATAATAAAAATGAAATAAATAGAGCAAGCACGAACCTCCACCTAGTTTTGCAGGTATAAAACGAATGAAATAACTTAAATATCCTCAATTATCTTCGACATAATTGATTATTTTATATTTTTATTTTTTGTAGGAACTTAAATTTTAATTTTGAAAATGAATTACATAAATTCAAATTTTAATATCGAAATTTCAATTCTCCATCCAATTTTGTTTTTTAATGTAGCCTAAAAACCTTTTCTTCTTTGCCTCAGAAAAACACTAATAGCCTTAAAGTTTCTTCTTTATTTATTTTTAATGTAAAAAAAAAAAAATTAAAATTAATTATATAAAAAAATTTAAATTGATTCGTACTTAAGTTAGGTTAAAGGTCGTTGAACTCAAGGATATTTAAGTTATTTAGTTAGTTTTATAAGTAAAATGTGGAAGGGATCCAATAAAAAATAACAAAAGGATTTTTTTCCCCTAATATACTAAGTATCCAAGGTTAAAAATAAAATTAAAAATACAATGGCTAATTATTAGATAATTTTAATTTTAGGAAAAGTTTGACTAATTTAACTAAAATTGGTCTAACCATTTAGAATAGCAACCAAAAAAATGAAAAGGCCAAAATCCAAAAAATATGCATCAAGATGTAGTTTGATAATTGAAATTATTTATTGTTTTCTTGTTTAAAAAAAAGATAAAAATAAATATCATTATGTTAAATTTCTAATGAACAATTTTAAAATCATAAAATACTTTTTTCTCCCAAAAATATCACATTATAACTTTCTAATTTGTTCACCTGTATAAGAGTCTTCGTATGGTTATATTATCATTTTTTTTTCTCCTGTTGAAAGACATGTCGTCTGCCACCAACATTGGTATGATCGCTGCCTTCCGTGTAGGTACTAACTGCTCTATTACAGTTGCAACTACCAACGACAAACAAAAAGGTCGTTCTTTTTTGGGACGGAGAATTCAAGGACCCAAAACAAAAGCTCTCTCTCAAATCCAGTCACTGTATCATTTCATCAAACAAAAAGCCTGCAATTTTCATCACTGACTTCTCTCGTAACTGGTGGGTTTGTTCTTATCTTTCTCTCTTTCAAGCCACCTACTTTTTTGTTGTTTACATATCTGTGTGTGAAAGGGATGGTGCTAAAATGCCTGTGTGAACTTGCAAGGTTAATTTTTTTTTTGGGTTTTGGTCTTTGATGCTTGTAGAAATTTGAAAAATATGCAGTCTAGTTTTGAGTGTGGTGATGGTTTTTGAATAATTTGTGATTAGTTTGATATTTTGATTAAGAATCAATCTGTGTTTGCATTATTATGTAGTTATGCGATTTTGTAATGCTTAGAAGTTCTTATAGTCTAAATGTTAGATCCTTGGAACTGTTTCAAGTTTTGAGCTTGTATCTTTGGATTTGATGATGCATTGGTAGCACTTTTGTTTCATTTCTAATTGTGAAAGTTTAAGGTCTTTCTTTTTGTTCGATTGTTTGAGAAAATAGTATGGACCAATATGAAACAAAATCAACAAACAATATAGAGCCATCACCTATGAAGATTTCAAGCTGTGTAGCTAGTAAAACCTTTTGGTATTCTTGTAGAACTGCCGGTTCCATAATTCTATGATTTCATCCTGCCGAAGTGCCGCGGATTAATTAAGTTGTGTTTTGGGATGCGTGTGTGTTCATAATGTGTATCTCCTGCTCATTTTCTTATTGTGTTCATGTTTGCATTTTTTTTGGACTTTTCTTATTCATTTTCATAATTTTTATGTTCTGTTTGTTTGTAATTTGACAATGCGTTTTTCATTGTCTTGATAGATGATGTGCTTGGTTGCAGGTTGAATCAAAGGTGTTAGGGTGGGTCGATTTTCATGAAAGTTGAATGAACATTGTAAATCTTCTTTAGCAGAACAACTGGAAGGAATTCTGATCCATGCCAAAGTATTCTGAGTGGACACTGGCACAGTTGGTTGACAGCATTTAGATACATTACTTCTGTAGCTACTCAGACAAAAAAGCCAAAAGAAAAGGAGGCCCCCCTTTTTTTCACTTTGAGTCAGAATAACCCAGAAAATAAAAAATGATAGAGCAATCCCTTTCAAAACCTTCATTTTCATTGTCAATTCCTATTCCTAAACCCCCTAAATCCAAATTGTCCTTTTTTTGCTACTATTCAAAAATTCGATGTGAAGCAATCAATTATCCCTCTTCATCAAATATTGATGCAAAACATCCACAAATTTCTACCATTAACAATAATGGTTCTTCATCATCAGCATCTGTGGATTTGAAGAACAAGGAAAAGGGCCCATACCCATATCCCGGAGGTGGAATGATGGGGCCATACACTGGGAGGGATCCCAATGTGAAGAAGCCAGGGTGGTTGAGGCAGAAAGCTCCTCAAGGCGAACGATTTGAAGATGTAAAAGAATCTCTGTCTCGCTTGAAGCTCAACACTGTTTGCGAAGAAGCTCAATGTCCCAACATTGGAGAGTGTTGGAATGGAGGTGGCGATGGTATTGCAACAGCAACTATCATGGTTTTAGGTGATACTTGTACCCGTGGCTGTAGATTTTGTGCTGTTAAAACCAGCAATAAACCTCCTCCTCCTGATCCCTTGGAGCCACTTAACACTGCTCTGGCCATTGCAAGCTGGGGGTAAGTTTGTTTGTAGAATTAACACTGAAAAGAATTTTTCTGTTTTACTCATTGCCTCTCAATTCCATTGCCTTAACATGTAAGAAGAAATGAAAAGGTAGACCATAGTTCATATTATGGTGTTCAACTCAGGTTAAGCATCAAACTAATCTAGCATTTTGTTTGCTTCCCAACTTTGTAGTGTGGATTACATTGTTATTACAAGTGTAGATCGTGATGATCTACCAGATGGAGGAAGTGGGCATTTTGCCCAAACTGTTAGAGCTATGAAGGTTTGCATATTATCTGGCTTGCTTCATGGCTGTCATGCTCCTCTGATACTGTTGCAGAATGGTTTGCAATATATGAATCACAAATTGGATTCTATACACCTTTTCTGCAGGAACTGAAGCCAGAGATTATGGTTGAATGCTTAACTTCTGATTTTCGTGGTGACCTAACGGCTGTAGATACTCTGGTACATTCAGGATTGGATGTGTTTGCCCACAATGTTGAGACTGTTAAACGCCTCCAACGAATTGTTAGAGATCCTCGGGCTGGGTGAGTGGCATGTCATTGCTTTTGAACAAGGGCACAACATGGATCGGTCTATGCCAGATCAGTTTCTTTGTGTTTGAGGCTAACCAGCCATGGTTGTACTTTCATGATCAGTTCATAATATTTGAATACAAAAATTGGACCAAACTGAAAACTTTTCTGATTGTTTCTTGTTGTAGGCTAGCTCTGACTTTTCATACGATGCAAAACATAAACAATATTTAGTATATAAAATTTATATTATCCCCATGTAAATCATACATGTACATAAAGGTATTCAATTATTTTTTGAGAACATGAAACAAGTTGCATGAATAAACAAAATCTAGGCATGTACTTATAGCAAGAAAGCTTATGCAGATTGGTTGTTCTTTCAAGAGAATTTGACGTGGATGCTAATTTTGATTCTAATATGTAGATTGGGAAATGCAGGTATGAACAGAGTTTATCAGTTTTGAAACATGCAAAAATCAGTAAGAAGGGAATGATAACAAAAACGTCTATAATGTTGGGTCTGGGAGAATCTGATGATGAGGTGAAGGAAGCCATGGCTGATTTAAGGGCTATAGATGTTGATATTTTGACATTTGGACAATACTTACAGGTAAAATGATATACCAATACACTGTGATGCCATTTATTTGAGTACTTTACAAGTCATATTATGCCTAGAATTAGTCTAGCGTTGTTGTGCCTGGGTATTCTCATGTAGCCAAAAGATGGTTTCCATTCAATACTGCTTAGGCATTTGTTAGGTTGTCGTGTTATATAATGCTACTATATTTACATGACACCTTTAGCTGGCTCTCAATATGCAACTGCTTCTCTTGCAGCCCACTCCATTACATTTAACTGTCAAGGAGTATGTTACACCAGATAAGTTTGCTTTTTGGAAAGAATATGGGGAGTCTATTGGATTCCGTTATGTGGCGAGTGGACCTTTGGTAAGTTGTTTGATAACTATTTACTTTGGCGATTACATATGTCGATACATGTTTTCTTACACAAATCAACAAATAGGAAACCAGGCCAATTGTTAGAGTTAAAATTCGTAAATGCATCAGGTGGTCTGTTGAAGTCCAGTTTTCCTCCAAAATCCTGACTGTTCAAACTTGGGACTAAATTTTAGTCTGCTACTATAACAAAAGCTTGCAAACTTATGCATGGTTTTACTTCAGATCCAATATTTATTAGCTGAGCTTGAGTTCATTTGGTGATATTCAAAATGCTCTTTATCGACATTTTTAAATATTTACAATGCGTTTATGTCCTTACAAAAGCTTTCAATTTTGATATGTCCAGGTTCGATCCTCTTACAGAGCAGGAGAACTCTTTGTTAAGTCAATGGTGACAGAAAGTGCTAAAGAAGCTGCTTCCATATCGTAGTCACCTTTTGTAATCCTTTTTATCATTCCATCTTGATGGCCATGCAACTAGAGCAATAACAACTTGGCGCCACCAGCAACTGCCTTGGGACAACTGGTATCAGATAGAGCAGGTTGAGGTTTCGTTTCTCTTGGCTTTTATCTTGACAGTGATAAATTTTACTGAGAAATGGAAGTATCATTAGTGGACCTTTTTTTTTTTTCCTTGCCATTCTTGTTGTAGCATGCAAGTTCTCTTGCTACATTTTTGTTCTATTTTTATATATAAATTTATATAGTTTTTGATGAATAAAGACAAATAAAAATTTCTTCTATATTTTCAAATCTAAAGCATGGTTAATTGACATGGTCGGATAAAAAAAAAAAAAAATCTAAAACACCAAAAGTTATTATATCTGTGAGCATCACTATTTTCTTCCTGTAAATAAACAAAGCATGTAAAATTGTTCACATCTTAACAACCCTTTGTAAAGATTCTTAAGAGCTAATTCACTCCATGAATCATTTGGTATATTCAAAGACTGCAGTGCAAGATAGCAGGAAAATGCTTTGTTCACTTAATGAAGGCACAATGTGTATAGTAATATTCTTCCCTGGTGGTGGTGAAGAACTCAAAACAGCTGCAGATTTCTGGCATCTGCTCTAAAATCTAACTTCGAAACGGCATTAGAGGGCTGGCACTTGAGGCCTTAAGATCGTTATGGTTATTAGAGGCTGATAAATTCAGGGTGAAACAAAACTATGCTATTTGTTGGATGGTTTTACGTGGAACTGGAGTCGGGACTTGGAACTATAGTTTTAACTTGTAGATGCAGTTGTAAAAACAGCCGCGGTTGTGATTGTGGATAGCAATTGTAAAATAATGATTACGGTAATCGATGTCCACTTCATTGTTACGGTAATCGATGCCCTCGTTGTTTAGTTTGATCTTCTACACGCTACTTATACCAATTCCGGTTATCAATATAAGTTTATTGGTGGTAGAGCATCTTTAATGATAATCTCTGTTTGTATTTAGTATTTTTAATGTAAATAGAGAATACTATTAATTATATAAATTGAAGATCAATGTCCTCTCTAATGTTATTCTCTATTTTAATTAATTATTTTGATAAAATTCATAAAACATGTAATTTTGTCAAATAACTCAAAGAAACTCTTAGTGAAGAGGTTGAATGACATAGGAAATAGTAATTTTCATTAATGAAATATAAGATAAAGAGTCATTTAGACTATATAATACTAGAAAGCCAAAGACACTCTGTATCTTACTTTTAAAGATAAAGATTGTGATAAGAAGAGTATTGAAAATAGAATTTAGATCAAACCTTTTTATTATAAAGAAAAATCTTAATATAAAGAGAGCATTGGAGATACTCTTAGAAAGCAAACAAATACAGATAAGTTTTGGACTGACATCATTCTTACCAAGCCAATTGTGCTGCAGAGATCCAAGATTGCTGCATGTTACTTATGTATGGTTTAGACTATAAGGTTAAGAAATTCATGGTAAATATTCTCCAAGTTGAGATTTTTCCCTAAGTCAAAGATGGGAGGTCATAAAAAATATGGCACTTGATATTCGATTTCGTTGGGATGTATATATCATATAATTTTCTGCTTGGATGTATCAGTTCTTGCTTAACAGGGTTGAAATCCTATAGGACAAGTCAATCCAAATTATAATAAATTAAGACATAAAAAATTATAAAACATCAAAATCTGAATATGAACAATGTGTGGATGCTTGGAAAATATATATATATTCTGAATTAATAAATTGGTAGGTCAGTGTGAGCCTGATTTTGGCTTGAGATGGCTTTTTGGGGACTAATTTGCACATTTGACCAAAGCAGTTCGCACAAGTTCAGATCAGAATTTGCCATGTTTGTTCCCCATTTGGATATAATAAGCATTATTATTATTAAGGTTTTTCTAAACATGCGTCTTTAGGGAAATACAATTGAATTATATATATATATATATATATATATATATATATATATATATATATATATTCTCAAGTATTTTAATCCCATATTTAAGATAAAACTAATTATGTTCGAGGTAGGAATTTAATCTCTTCCAAAAGATACAGTTTCAAGATTCCATATTCAAAAATTATTAATTATATAAGCGAAACTTTCAAAATATAACAATGTATGCCCTTAAGGTATATGTTAGAAAAACCTTTATTTATTTATTTATTATTATTATTTTGACAGTTATGCCATGACGCTGTATTTACGAAATATTTCTTTCTTACAACTTCTTCAAAGATTCAGATCCTGAATGATAGTAATGATAATATAAGAAGCCTGGTTATGAAAAATGTTGTGTGCCAGAGAACATTAAGTACATACATTGTACGTAACAAAAATATTTGGTTGGTTAGAGTTCAAAAACTTCCACATTTTGCATAATATAATAAAATAAGAAGAAAATATAACCACCAATCTATGCATATGCATGTCACCTGTAGGAAACTTGGATATTTCCTTGGAAAAAGATATTTTTAAAATTCAGGCATACTCTGAATATACATGTTACCTTGTTGGTCAATGGTCAAAACAGGAAGCTTAATGCACAAATTCATTGCCCCATTTAACATCCAAGACCAAGTTCTGACTTGCTACAACTACAGTAGTAGTTTATGTACGGCCGCCAAGAAACGAAAACATGAAATTTATGGTAAGAAAGACAACATAGTATAATAAAAAATCAAACACAAAACCTAGTTTTTTGGCTCTATATATTAGTGGAATTACCCCCCATAACCAAGATCTTGAGATCTTGTCCACTCTCTCTCAGTTTATACAGCCATGAACACCAACAGCAGCAGCCTTGTCCATGGCAGCATAACCAAAAATTTTAGCCATCGAGTGAATGGTTATCAGCCATTGGATCGATATGAATCTATGCAGATCAGTGATCCTAATGGCATGGGGTATAGAAGTGCAAGGGCTAAGCAAAGGCAGGTTTTTCTGAAGTCTTACAGGTTAGAATCAAGAATCAAACTGAGAAGAAGGTCAAGGTCATTGAAGCTAAAGAATGTGGTGGGTAAGGTTAGGTTGGTTGCGTTGTCAGTAGTTTCATTTATGAGAGGAAATGCTTTAAAATCTTGTAATTCTAGATCATCGATCTGTGCTTTCTCTCCTGTGTAACTAAGGTATACCAGCACCAATTGGCTACAAATATGACCGTTTCACAATACCTGAATGTACCCGCTATATTCCTATATGTTATTTTGCAGATTGACCATGGCTAGAAATTTCATTAGCAATCTTCTTTAGAACAAGCAAATAGCAGAAATAATCAAACAAAAGACGGAACAATCTGTTGAATCTTCGTTTACAGTACGACAGCAAAATTCGGACAGATTCAGATTAGACAATCAAGTGAGTTAAGAGAAATCAAGAAAAGAAAAACATAAGCTACCACAAGAATGAACAAACAAAACCTACATGTAGAAATTCAAAGAAAGCAAATTACTTTGAACTAAATCTATGTTCGGCTGTAAATTCCAATCAATGAATCAAAGGAGAAAGCACAAAAACTCAAAGAAAACCACAATTCAAGCTCAACCTTGAGCAAATCAAGCAGAGAATTGCTAGACTTGATATTGGTAGTTTGTTACCTTTAAGCCTTGTCATAAAAACCACCCACTACTTCCATACCAGAATCTATTCCAAGTCTTTGCTAATAGTTGAACATATGACGTACTGGGTACCATATCTTCTCAACTATTTCTTCAATTACTTCTGACTCGTTCCTGTAAAGATACACAAAGAAGAAATGGCAATCATGCAACATCCCAAACTATATTTACCTACTTCTGTTGAAATCTTCTTTCTTTAAATTTTTCGTTGGTATTTTATTTTATTCGCCTTAAAATTTTCATCTGTTACATGCACTCAACAAACTGAATCATGAGCATTTCTTTTTTAAGTTTTAATATCGATCTTTTAGAAGAAGCACTATGATCTTAGTAGAGAGAGATAGATAGAGAGAGAGAGAGAGAGTATATACCAATCATGTACATTCCATCTGGATAAATTGGCAACTTCAGCGAGACAATCCTTCCAACTCTGAACCTTCTCCATATTTTCTGTGTCTTGTTCATAAGTCCCTATCAGTGTGCCCACCTCTGATGTATCTACATAATAGAAAACAGGCAAAATAGTCTGTCCCATCTCTTTCCTGCACTGAACCATCTTGACAAGTTCGTCCAAACATTGTGGTAAAGAAGCACAATTTCTTGAAAATATAATGATTGAAAACCTTGAATTTTCAATTTGCTTCAAGCAATCTGCTTCGGCCATGTGATGTGGTCTCCATGGAAACTGGTATTTCATAAAAAATGCCGTAATGTGTCTCCGTCTCAAAGCACGACCTAGTTTGAAGGAAAAATTATGGTGCAAGTCCCATCTTTCCAATCTCAAGAAGACATCATGTGTCCAAAGAGAAGAAGAAGAAGAAACTGATGGCACTAGACAGATACCACACCTCTTCACCTTTAGTCCACTCAAATGAGGATAAAATGACAGCTCAATATTACTTGAGCATTCAAGCAGCAACCCTTTAAAGTAATCAAAAGACAAATAGAATAGCCAAAGGTGATCTGACAGAACTTGGATAAAGTTCCAACTGATCCACATAGGCAGAGGATCATTTTCTCTTCCATTTGATTTGAAATGACAAAAGAGATATGGACTTCCATAATCCTCCAGGGGTAATGCAGTGAATGCCGCACATACAGCAAATCCAATCCACTCACTATCATCACTATCCAAGTTAGGAGGCACTTGCACACTAATTGAAGACCCCTCATTCTGATGGACAAAACACACTGGAATTTCACTTCCAGGAATAGCAATACCAAATCCAAGTGCTGGATTAGAAAAGCCCTATATACCATCAATTCAGATTGTTATATTTGTATATTTGTTTGTTTGTGTTTGTGAAAACATAGAAACTCCATAAATACATCTATATAAAAGACACAAACACACACATACAAAGGGATCAACTTACACGTAGCAACATGATTTTCTACATAGCTCATTAACTCTTACATGTAACTTAATTAATTAATCTTCAATTTACTTAAATCATTTATGCCAAATATTGAGTCATAGATAGACAGGTAGATATTACATTTCCATTGACCTAGCTCTATGAAATTGATATTTTACTCACCAAAATTATTGATGAAATTATCACAATGTTGAAGAAATATTTATAAACAGGACGCTAACTCTAAATTAGGTATCAATGATTTGATTACAGTATCAAATCAAATGGTTGATTGTAAAAGATCAAATTACACAAACATTAATGTCAGTAATGTTAAAGTCATGCAAGTTGCACGCATAACTTGATCTCTCCCCAAATACACACACATATCTGTGTGTTGAAGAGTGTGTGTGTGAGAGAGAGAGAGAGAGACGAGAGTACCAGGAGGTATCTTTTGAGCTTTGTCAATCCCAAGTTTTCACCATCAAACAGTTTCCAGCAATTAAGGCATTTGAACTCTGATCTTTTCAAACTGCAAAGATTCATGGGATCTGGAATTTCTACTAAGGACGTACAACCATTCAAATTTAAACTATATACATTTGATGGAACCATAAGCAATGACTGAAGCATCCTACAATCCTCAAGGACAAGTAGTTCAAGCCTAGAAAGTAGATTTATGCTCTCGGGTAAGCTAAAAAAGTTGTTTCTGCTCAGGTCTAAACACGTCAATGAAGACAAACAACCAATATCTTCAGGAACAGCTCCTTCCCCTAGACTGCAATTACATAAATTCAGTTCTTTAAGGGAATATGAAAATGGCAATGAAGGCAACACAGGGTGTGTTATATTTGCAACTATTTTACATCCTTCTAAAGACAACACTTCAACGTTCTTCAAAAGAAAAATTGAACCTGGTGGTTGTCTTATGGCAGTTCCACTAATATCCAGCTCCTCCAAACATTCAATTTGCCCAAAGCTCTCTGGAATGTTTTTGAGTTTAGAGCAGCCAAACAAATAAAGTTTTTTAAGGGATTTTAAACCACCTATGCTGTTTGGAAGACCTTTCAGGTTTTTACAGTTCTTGAGGCTTAATATGTCTAAGCGACTCAAATGTAGAATTGATGAGGGTAGTTCTTCAATACATGTCCCATCCAAACGAAGTTCGATTAAACATTCCATATGTCCCACGATATCTGGAAATTTCTTGAGCTCTGAGCAGCCAAGCAGAGTAAGAACTTTAAGTGATTGCATCTGAAGGTTTCGTGGAAGACTATTAAGAATTTTGCAGTCTACAAGATTAACATACTCAAGATTTTTGTGAAGACCTAGTGATGGATGGACTGCAAACAAACTTGCACAACCTTCAAGAACCAGCCTCTGAAGATTTGGCATCCCAGTAAAATCCGGAGTCTCAGTCAGGTTTAGGGAGTAACTGAGATTAATGACACTCAAATTGACTAAACTCTGTCGCCAAAATCAAGAAGTAAAAGAAGAAAAAGAAGTGGTAATGTTATGCATATGCTGCAAAAAAAGAAAAATGAAAAATGGAAGGTTTAGATTGATGCATCTTACCTTAAATCCATACCAAAGTTGCTCAATGCTACTGTAAGACATGTCAAGTTCAACAAGCTTATCTGGCTGAAAACAAGATGGCAATGATTTTGAAGGGTAAGCATGCCATTCAAGAAACCGCAAGTCATTTGAAAGACATTCAAGTCTTTGAGAGAGGTCAACATTATGAACTTTGAGCAATCTTAGTTTGCTCATCTTTGAGAAACTTTCCATTTTCCACCTTGCCTCTTCTATTCTAGGCAGGTCCAGGACTATGCTTTCTACCTCTTCCCTTCCCTGTCAACCAAAGTAAAGGATAAATGAAAAGCAACTACTATAAAATAAAGATAGAGCAACAGATAAGTATAGTTGCAGTTAAAAAATGAAATTTTCCAAGGATCTGCTTACTGTGCTATTCTTTAGAACATGAAACACATCCTCAGATGCCCACAATCTACTGCGTCCTCCTGGCTCTTTAGGAGATTCTCGACGAACAATTTCCCTACCCATTATTTGTAGTAAATCATGCATCCATATTTCATTTCGGGAGACACTTATGAGAGATTTATCAATAAGAACTTGTATTCCAACATTAGCATGGAAACCGCAACTGTTGAGGATCCTTGTTACTTGGTCTTTTTTCATCCCCTTAAAGAAACATGCAATGTCTAGAAATATTTTCTTCTCCAGTTCTTCTAGTCCATCAAAACTAATTTGAAGTATATCCACAATTTTCCTGCTGGGAATCTCATTCATTCTGTTCATTGCACTTTCCCATACCGTTAGACTCCTGCCATGCAAAAAGGAACCTATGACTTCAAGAGCTAGTGGAAGGCCTTTAGCATATTGCACAACATGCTTAGACAACTCCAAATAATTTTCGGCAGGTTGGTTCCGTCTGAAAGCTTTCTGACTAAATAACGTAAGAGCTTCATCATCATTTAATTTCTCAACCTCATATATTTTATTACCTTCTTGTGAGACCAACACATGTTTATTTCTACTTGTTATTAAAATTCGACTCCCTGGACCAAACCATATATTTTCTGCTGCCAACATTTCAAGTTGTTCTAATTTATCTACATCATCAAGAACAACAAGAACCTTTTTATCTTGCATGATGCTCTGTATGTCAATGATTCCTCTATAAGTATCCCATACATGAACACTCTTTTCCATTAAGATTTCAGAGAGAAGTTGCTCTTGTAAGCGAACCGGTCCGTGCTTTCCAAAACTTTCTCTCACATTTGCCAGAAAGCAGCTGCCTTCAAATTTCCAACGAATTCAATCATAAACAGTTCTGGCAATAGTTGTTTTGCCCATACCACCCATTCCACAAATGCCTAGAAAGCGAACGTCATTTAACCCTACAGCTAATAAGCCATTTATAAACTCCACACGAGAATCTATTCCAACCAAGTCTTTGTTAACAATTGGGAATATGCAACTCAATTTGTACCAGATCCTTCTAACAATTTCTTTAATCATTTGTGACTCATCCCTACAAGAAACAAAGAAAATAGCAAATCAATATTTTACTGAGTGAAAATCAAGTCATCCGCCGAAAAAGGATAAAAAATACAACGAATGGTTTGTACAAACATGGTTTCAATAAATCACATAGTCATGCCAAAGAAACATTCGATCCGTAGTTTTCAGTGATTAGTTTAATTACAAATGCGCCTCAAACTATCTATATACATACATGCATGCATGCATATCTATGCTAATTCATACCCAACTGTCTTTGGCACAGACACTAGTCTCTCCCGTTAAAACCCGATAATGTGGTGTTAAAATTCATGTTTGAAGTAGTGGTAAAAGCATGTGCGACCATGTAATGTAGAGGGCCGATGTAGAACTTGGAAGTTTTCTATTCAAATATAACTACGATTTTTTTTTTTTTTTTGGTCTTTCTAAGAATATCATGAAACCAAACCTTCATGTGTGATTCATTGGGAAATTGTTGTGCAATATTTTGTACTTGTCTTCTCTTCTTACAGATGCATGATGTTCTACATATATGAAGTAAAAATGTGATTTGCATAAATTTATATGCATAATAGGTATATATTTGTGTTCTGCAAACAGGTTTCATTGTTAAATTAACAGGTAAATGAGGATTTTACATCAAATCTATATATATATATATATTTGTCTGGTCTTTTACTCTCTTACAATGTGCATATGCATCCGCACCATTTTGGATGCACCATTTCCCGATAAAGGTGATTCAGTGTCTTTTAAAGGTATCGTATAAAATCTAAATTCTAAAGTAATCATATTTTCATTCTTACACATTTAGCAATATTTCACTTTGGTTTCAATATTAATTCTAATAAAATTTTCAAAAATTTCTAATTTGACCAAAATCGATTAAATAATTATTGAAAGCAAACGATGGGAATCGTGTATGAATTTTTTATAAGTTTTTAAGCTCTTTTGTTGGATATTATCTCATCTATTAGAATTTGGAAGAAAGAGAAAAACATGAAAAAAAAAAGGAAGAAAAAGAAGAAGAAAGAGGGAGATTAATATATTAGAACATGTAAATAAACAATTGTATGATAAAATCCCACCCCAATTTGTAACAAAGTTATCCATACCGTCTTCAGGCTTTTCAAGGTTTTTAATTGGTACCAAATGTTTCAATATCAAAGCATTTCAGTATTCAGATTTAGGGTTTTAAATTCCTAATTAATTTTGTATACATATCTAGCACAATATAAAAATATTAAAATAATCAAGTATCTTAATTTATTAAAAAAAAAACAACTATTTTAGGAGAAATATATTAGAAATTTGATTACCACTAAAAAAAAAAGAAAAAATTAACAATCCCACGTATTAATTTAAAACGAAGGGTTTTTTTTTTTTTTTTAATTTTTTATAGATTTTTTAATCATGAGTGTTGAAACACAAATGAAATTAGAAAAACTATACATATATGAAAAAAAGGGTCAAAAATTATAGTTATGAAATGACATATGGGCACTTCTTGCCAAACAAACAAACAAACAAGTATCGGGCCATTAAAAAACGAGACCATTTTCTAGTGGAGAAATTCATCGAGCACCTCGTCTGCCTTTCGCTAGGACAATGGAAAGCACAAACAACGGTAAGGAAGCCCCCATATTTGAAATCAATTAACCTATCTAAGCTCATAACATTACAAAAAAGAGATCAATACAACCTCCAACGAAAAAAAACGAACAGAGATGAAGAACTTGAGGCACATGGCTAGGTAGAATATAAGGACAAGAAATGGTTACCTGTCCCGTACATCCCATCCTGATAAGTTGGCTACTTCAGTGAGACTGTCCCTCCAGCTACGCACCTTCTGCATATTTTCCCTGAAATCTTTTTCATGCTTTACAAAAGCTTCTCCATACCTTCCCGTCTGCTCGGCTACCTCCGATGGATCAACATCATAAAAGACTGGAAAAACAGTGTGCGATCCCATTTCTTTCATACAGCCAACGATCTTGGCAAGTTCATCTAAGCACCAGGTCGAAGAAGCATAGTCTCTTGAAAATATAATGACTGAAAACCTTGACTCTTCAATGGACTTCCAGAGTGTTGGCTCAATTGGCCTTCCTCTCTCTAGTTCCCTGTCATCCATGTAGGCCTTGATGCCTCTCACGACTAAAGTAGTATATAAATGGGCAGTAAAATTATTGCGGGTGTCTTTGCCTCTAAAGCTAAGGAATACATCGTGTCTACGTCGAGGAGAAGCTCGTGTGCTAGTGGAAGCCATGGCCAATTCTGCGCCAAAGTAAATAGGAAAATAGAGAAGAAGAAGGTGAAAACTGCAAAAATACCTCAGGACATATTAACCAATCAGGACAACCAATTAGATAATGGTAGGCAATTTTCCAGAAGCAAGCAAGTCTAGGTCCTGCCGTCCTGAACACGATGAAACGAAACAGCGCAGCAGGTGGCTGGCATTTATGAGGATTTTCAACAGTGAAAATCATTGTTCGTTGCAATGCATAATCACTATGGATGCTACTTTATTTTCAGCCATTGATTGCCTTCTATAATTATTTTCTTACCTCCTGTTGGATGTATTTCTATTTGTCTTTTTTTTTTTTTTTTTTTGGCCAAATAAATGAATGCTTGTACTGTTTCTGCTTTCTAGCTTTTCCTTCAATTTTTTTAATGCCATTGATTGGATGGTGATTTACTGTTGTGCCTTAATTTGTTTTTTCTTCCGCTCTCTAGCTTTTATGCCCTTTTTTGTCATTAACATTTTCCTTTTGCTGGAGCATTAAATGTCGGCAATTGATGGCCATGTATTTGGTTTGGTCCCATATTTTCTTTTTCCACTTTTGGTCCCTATAAGTCCTTTTTTTATTAATTTATTATTATTATTATTATGAATTATTAGGTAAAAATTATGGATGATCGATCGTTATTTTTTATTTTTTTCAAATAACCTAAAGATGAAAAAATATATGTAACATATTTTTATTTTTTAAAATAAACATATATTTTTAGATAATATTATTCTTATTATTTAAAATTTATTATGAATTATTAGGTAAAAATTATAGATAATCAATCGCTATTTTTTATGTTTTTCAAACAATCTAGAAATGAAAAAATATATATGATATGTGTTTTTTATTCGGTGTGAAAAGTAGGAAAAAACAATCTTTTTAAATAGAAGAAATATAAGTAAACTAGAGAGAAAAAACGCATCCAAAATCTGCATATTTAATAGTTTGATATTAAAAGAATTGACGGATTTTAGGTTATTTTTTCTCACTTTATCGACTAGATGAAACAAAAGAGTGACATATAAGTTATTTGATGATTCCATTAATTAATTGAAAAACAAACTCGATGGAAGGATTACACAAAAAAGGTTTAGGTAATGTTAAGTGCACAATTGATTGTCTGAATCGATAAATTATGGATAACATTGTAAATAAGGTAATAGAATAAGGGTAGTTTTCTAGTTAAGAAAAAAATGAGGATGTTTTTCTCGCTGATTTAATTTGGAAGGCAACTCTATTAATTAATACCACATTCAGAGATTCAATTTTCACATTTAGGTGTCATTTTCTTTGTTATGTTTGTCAACGAGACTAGGTGGTGATTCTATTTCATTGGCGTGTCTTCCCAGATAATAGCAGGCAATTTCCCAGAAGAAAGCAAGTCCAGGTCCTGCCGTCCTGAACAAAATGAACCGAAACAGCAGCAGCAGGTGGCCGGCATCTGCTCTAAAATCTAACCTCCAAACAGCAGGAGAGGTCTGGAACTTGAGGATTTAAGGTCCTTATAGTTATTAGAGGCCAATAAATTCATGGTGAAACAGAACTATGCTATTTGTTGGATGGTTTTACATGGAACTGGACTTGGAACTTGAGCTTGGATCATAATTTTAAATCGTGGTGTGGGTGTAGTTGTACGTTGTAATTTATTATGATAGTAAAATAACGATTACGACAATTGATATCAAATCTCTTTTCGAATAAATTAGGATAGACTTCCATGTGATGAGTCAGTTTGATATTTCATATGCTACTTATCCCAATTCGAGTAATCAATCTAAGTTTATTGGTGTTAAAAAGCAAACAAATACTGATAAGTTTTGCCTGATCAGATCATTCTTACCAAAACCATTGTGCTCCAGAGATCCAAGATTGCTGCATGTTAGATAAGTAATTCAAGATTTTTTGTTCGAAAATTCAGAAGCATTTCTTAAAGCTAGCAGTAAAATTCAGAGTGAAACAGAACTATGCTATTTGTTGGATGGTTTTACATGGAACTGGAGTTGAAACTTAAGATCATAATTTTAAATCGGGAATGCAGTTAAAGAAACCGTCGCAATCGTGATTGTATATTGCGATTTATTATAATAGTCCAATAACGATTGTGACAATTGATATTAAATCTCTTCTCAAATAAATTAAGATAGACTTTCATATAATGATTCGATTTGATATTTCATATGTGATTTATTATAGTAGTAAAATAACGATTATAACAATTGATATTAAATCTATTTTCAAATAAATTAAGATAGACTTTCATGTGATGATTCAGTTTGATATTCCATATGCTACTTATCCCAACTCCAGTAATCAATCTAAGATTATTGGTGTTAAAAAGCGCACAAATACTGATAAGTTTTGACTGATCAGAACATTCTTACCAAAACAATTGTGCTCCAGAGAGCCCAGATTACTGCATGTTAGATAAGTCATTCAAGATTTTTTGTTCGAAAATTCAGAAGCATTTCGTAAAGCTAGCGGTAAAATTCTTGACTATTTGGAATTTAATTTCTTCGTTTGCTTTTTTTTTTTTTTTTACCTTCCATTTTACGTACTTATGTATGGTTTTTACTGTAGGGTTAAGAAATTCATGGCAAATATTTTCCAAGTTGAGATTTTTCCACAAGTCAAAGATGGGAGGTCATAAAAAATATGACACTTGAATTCGATTTCGTTAGGATGTATGTATCATGTAATTTGCCACTTGGATGGATCAGTTCTTGCTTAACATGGTTGAAATCCTAAAGGACAAGTCAATCCAAATTATAATAAATTACGACCTAAAAAATCATAAACGTCAAAATCTGAATATGAACAATGTGTGGATGCTTGAAAAATATATATATTGTGAATTAATTAATTGATAGGTCGGTGTGAGCCTGATTTTGGCTTGAGATGGCTTTTTGGGGATTAATTTGCACATTTGACCATTACTACTACTTCCTTCTCTTACACGAGAACGACTGTTACTATTATTATCACAATTATCTTTATTATTTTTATTATTATTATAATCGATAATATTATGTTTTTAATTATTATTTTTTATCTTAAAAACTGAATATTTAAATTTTAAATTTCTTTTCAATTATTCACTATGATTCCAAGCATAGTAATAAAACAAAAATATCATTTCGGTTATTTAATTTTTATTCTGATTTTTATAACTAGATCTCTCTCTTCTAGTAACTAAGCAATACTTTACGACACATATTAGAAAAATCCTTGTCATTATTTGGACAGTTAGGTTATAATGGTGCATTTACAACAATTTTTTCGTTGGACCAAAATGATGCATTCGTGTGTATATATATATATATATATATATATGGTAACTTTTTAAAGATTCATATCATGAATAAATCTTCTTTGTTTTTGTTTTGTAACATAAGAAACAATTCTACTTATGATTCATGCATATGAAAAGCATAAGTTGTGCGTAAGAAAACATTATCTATATACATTGTATATAAAAAATGTCTGGTTGGTCAGATTTAAAAAACTTCCACATTTTGCAAAAGAAAATATAAATATCAATAATCTATGTACATACATGCATGTCACCTGTGGAAAACTTGGATGTTTCGTTAGAAAAAAATATTTTCCAAATTCAGGCATACTCTGAATATACGAGTTACCTTGTTGGTCAATGGTCAAAATAGGAAGCTTAATGCACAAATTCATTGGCCCATTTAACATTCAAGACTAAGTTTTGACTTGCTGTAACTATAGTACGTAGTAGTTTACATATGATCGGCCGCCAAGAAACGAAAACATGAAATTTATGGTAAGAAAGAAAACATAAGATTATAAAAAATCAAACACAAAACCTAGTTTTTTTTTGTCTATATATTGGTGGAATTACACCCATAATCAAGATCTTGCTGTGACCTTTTCTGCTCTCTCTCGGTCAGTTTATACAGCCATGAACAGAACCACCAGCCTTGTCCATGACAGCATAACCAAAAATTTTAGCCGTCTGAATGGTTATCAGCCTCTGGATCGATATGAATCTATGCAGATCAGTGATCCTAATGACATGGGGTATAGAAGTGCAAGGGCTAGGCAAAGGCAGGTTTTTCTGAAGTCTTACAGGTTAGAATCAAGAACCAAACTGAGAAGAAGGTCAAGGTCATTGAAGCTAAAGAAGGTGGTGGGTAAGGTTAGGTTGGTTGTGTTGTCAGTAGTTTCATTTATGAGAGGAAATGCTTTAAAATCTTGTAATTCTAGATCATCAATCTGTGCTTCCTCTCCTGTGAAACTCAACAAGTCTTGTTAGTTATTTTTCTTATTTATTTATTCTTTGGCACTGAATTTCTTATTAATAAATCATCTTTTGTTGCTGAAATTCTCTGAGTTAGTATATATATCTGTATCTTTTTTAAGTAGATAGATTAGCAGAGATGTATCTAACACTCTAGTTTTCAGAATATATCACTTGAATTTGCATATAATATAGAGGCTTATATATCTCTTGTCTGACTATATTTCTGAACTCTCTACTTCTCTCTCCCTTCTCCTATTGAAGGAGAGATTAGACAGATACTTATGTATGTTTGAAGTTGTCATGTTCATGTTCATGTCCGATCATCTTTAGTCTCATGTTCAAAACACTACCTATAACTTCAATTATATGATGACATGTAATTATTATAGACGAATAAAAGGAATGATTTGGCCTAATTTTGAATAGTACATGATTTATTTTATATCTACGTGATTACAATGGTTAAAATAGACAATACTGAATAGTACAAAGATATAATATTTCACCCCTTTCCTTATTAATTTCATATACTATAAATATTGTGTGCAAATTTCTCATATATCCTAGGCTGGTTTCTGGTTCATCATGTAATGTGGTTCTCATCCATGGATCCACTGGCTCCACCTAGTTCTGTGTAGGCCAAGTGTGCAAAATGCCTGGGCTAATCAGTAATACCAAGACAATATTTTTCACTATACAGATTGGCCTTACCAATTTATGTGTTGGGTATAGTTAGAGGCTGATCATTTACCATTTAGGACTGTATTAACAGGCTGCAAATTGTCATTGCTAGTTAGCACCTGTTATGATTATTTGATTTCGTACAAGTACTCCATGCTTTTTCACAATGATATGAGAAAAATATAGTTAGATTTTCCTAAATTGGCTCCTCCTTGTATGGTCTTAAAAAAATATCACCTGCAACCCCAGATTGTTTTGAGCTAAAAATAGAAGAAAAGAGAGTTGTGTAACAACCATGCCAGTTATTATGATCCTCCATGTCCACACATTATGTAACAATGACCTAAACCAATGGAGCAAAATTCCCCCCAAAAAGGCCCCCTCTCCCCTCCAAGTTCAAGATTCTTGGATGAGAAGGGAAAGGGCTTTTCTTTCTTCTTCTTCTCCATTCTTGTATGGATTATGCTCATCGTAGGGTCTATCCATCGACGTTGACGCAATAATGGACACTTCCCCTGAATACCACACAAAATATGTCATGCTCAACAATAGTAATTCTTCAAGCCTAAGACCTCCTCCTCAAAGGCGTAACATTCCTAGGTACCATTCAAGCCATCATCATTCACATGGACATGGATGTTTAAAATGTGTATGCTGTTGCTTTTGCTTCTTGATTATTTTGATCATCATTCTTGCTAGCCTTCTTTCCGTTATTTACATAACCCTTGACCCCAGAATGCCTGAATATAATGTCGAAAGTTTCGAGGTTAATGCTTTCAACCTAGCAACAGATTTTAGCCTCTATACCGAATTCGCTGTCACCGTGAAAGCCAACAATCCTAACAAAGGTATTGCTTTCACTTACGGTAAGGACAGCTCGGTTGTTGTAGCCTACACAGATTCAACTCTTTGTTCTGGCAAGCTTCCTGCCTTCCACCAACCGTACATGAACACATCGATGATCCACGTTGTTTTGAAAGGAAAAAGCGAATTCGGTTCAGGACTTCAAGAAGCTCTTACGGACAACAGCAAAACAGGAAGGATTCCTTTACTTGTAATCGTAAACGCACCTGTTTCTGTGATGGTTCAAAGTTTCCCATTGAAACAAGTTATGGTTAATGTCAACTGTTCTTTGGTTGTTGATAACTTGGCACCCAACAAGAGAGTTCGGATTCTATCAAGTTCATATGCCTATGCTGTCCAAGGTGTTAAGATTGAAGTATAAATCACCCATATTTTTTCGTTTTCCTCTTCTCCATTAACATCTTCGATTCCATCCGGAAGGGAAAGGAGGAGCAGAATGGGCTAATGACATCCATGCCATTTGCTTCTTCTCTCAGAGATGAAATCAGAGGAGTTTGTTCTGCAGGCTATATTGTGTGGATTGCTGATTATAAAGCATATATATGCAGTTTTAGCTTGTGCTGTTTAGGCTTTTGTTTGGACATTATTCATAACTTTACGTATTTTGCCAGCAGTATTGTAATTCTGTAATGTATATGTGATCCAGAACTTGTTATTATTTGCACTAATTTAGAAAGCTTAATCCATGTTTGGTTCATTACTTCTTATATAGTTTGTTTTCCGAGGACAGATTTTATTGAACCCTAATCCCAGATTTTGTTATTTTTAATGTTCTGTTTTCCTGCAACCAAACACATTATGTAAAATTATAATGACTGAAGACTTGCTACATATTATTGATAGAGAATCATACACCGGTAGAATCACCTGAAGCTAAACCCACGACAGTTCGCACAAGTGGTTAGGTTGTTCCAGCTCGATACCGTCAAGAATTCCTGACTATAGGTGCATATTCGAAGTTTTTTCTCCTTTCAATATTTTTTTTAATGAATGAAATTGAAGTGAGTTAAAAAATAAAATTGAGATTTATATATCCAAACTTTTTTGAGGGAGTGTTGTAAGAAAAAAAGGAGATGGATACTTCGCAAGACTTGGCTAAGGCTCCAGGACATCTTGGGTTTACGTCTTCTTTTGGATAGCTTGTAAATTTCCAACTCTTATAGGTGAGGAGCATGTTGATGAAGCTTTTTTCCGGGCTGTACTGGAGATATCTCTACTGCTTGTAGATATCAAAGTTCCAAACATGCAATCCTTCTTGTGGATCATCCTGTAGATGCAGCAGGCATCTTATCTATTTTTTCTAAGTTGTTGAAACAGAAGGGAAAAGCTGAGTAGTAGAGACTAGGATTCCATTATGTGATAATAGCCTTCATCACCAAGATTTCCTTAGATTTATTTGACCTTGTATTTCATAATAAGAACAAAAAAAGAAGAAGATCAAAGAAAAAAAAAGAAGGAAGATCAAAGAAAAAGAAGGAACAAACACTATTTAACAACAATGGCTGTCTTACCTCAAATTAAATGGTTTCTTCTTTTTCTCTATTGGATTATTTTTTATAAAATAGTTTTTATTTCAACAAATGATACATTAAAAACGAAAGGTTACAATAGTTTCACGACATTTATATTATTTAATTAATAATTGCATGGTACATTAAAAGCAGGTTACAACATGTTAAAAATTCCTATTTATTTTCAAGGTTATTATTGACATGATTTAAATTCATTCTTAACGTTGGTAGCAATAAATTTTTCTTCAAGAGTGTAAATGCCAAACGGCTCTTATTTTTCATAATAAGAACAAAATATATATATATATATATATATATATATATATATATATATATATATATATATATATATTATGATCATACTTAATTAATAAATTCAGATTATATAGTATAAACAAAAAATAAAAAAAAATTAATTGTATAAAATATGTTAAAGTCAATAAATTGAAATAAAAAATACTATAAAATTGGTTCATATAAATTTTACTTCTTAATCTATAGTGAAAGAGATCCTTGAATTACAAATTAAATTATAAATTAATTCATCTCGTTTTGAGAAATAAATTACTTAATTCTTTTGGTTTCAAAAATAAATAAGTTAATTATTTTAATTAGTGTTAACCACGAATAATTTATTTTTTATTTTATAAAATGTTTTTTTTCATATTTTCTCATAATTTTTTTATTCTTTTTCTATTTCTTAAAAAAAAAATTAAAATAGTAAAAAGGACAAAAAAATTAGTTTTTTAACCAAATGGATTAATTAATTTTTTTTCTCAAAGAGACACTAATTTAAACTCATTCTTGAATAGCAAGTGGCTCTGGTTTCCTGTCGAAAATAAGAAGAAAAAAAAACTTTAAAAGAAGATAGGAGCATTAAATGCTCAATTCGAAGAAATCAAAAAGAAGATGATAGAAAAAAAACCCAAAAAAAAATAAATTAAAAAAAAATCAGTCAATAGTAAAAATAAAGTTTCTTAAATTCATCAAACCCGATAAAAGAGAAATTAACAACAATGTAGGGAGTGAAAACTCAAACAATACAACGAATAATAAACCTAAATCTCAAACAACATAAATGAATAGTAAATATGTAAGTTTTCATAGTTTGTTTTTGTTAATATCCTGTAACTGATAACTTCCCCAAGTAAGGGGCCTGCATACTAGCCCATCATGGAATAAGCATTTTACTGGAGACTTGAATTTGCCAACAAGCCCACTAAATCTACCAACACACTATCTTGCGGTTTGGTCGGCTTTGGGGACTGGTCCAATTTTTGGGCATAACGAAGTGTTTGCAAAATATAATGACAATTTACAACATATTGGATAATGTCTGCTTACTTCCAGCTTCATTTGCGATAAGAAGTTTCCTTCACATCTGATTTGTGTTTTTTTTCCCCTCTCTTCTAACCATTCTCTAATTGTTTTTCTTACGGTAATAAATCAGTTTTCCAGGTTTTTTTTTTTCCTTTTTTCCCTCTCATTCTGCAGGAGGATGAATAACCCAAATTCCCATCTACCTTACCGATATTTCAACCTAAGCCCTCATGGTAGAAATTCCAAGTTTTAACTATTGTAAATAGTTTTCAAGTCTTTTCATTGTTTTGATATGTTTTCTACTTTAGATCTTCAACAGAAATAAGGTCAATATATATGCTACACAGCCTGTGTTCCAAGCATTATGCAATGTTAATCAAAGCCCAGGCACTCTAAAAGAAATTCCTCAAGTATGATATTCCTTGATTTCTCTAATGTAGTAACAAGCATATGTTGTTCGGTTCTCGACCGACTACATTGGTCTGTGAACCGAATATCCTGTCAAAAATCAAGACATATGCTTTAGTTCAGCATTCTATAAAATACATAAAACTATGCAGCAGAACAAAATATGCTCTGTGCGTTATACAAGATTGATGGGCACATCGACTTTTGTGTCTTCTCCGACTAACTTTCTCCCATTTCGACAGCGATTCTCCTTTTCACAACCTCTATCATATGGATTCGCAGGTACTTCGTTACATGCCTTTGCGTTGGGATTTTTTGGACTGCATCCAGGAATGCCATCTTTTCCTATAGCTCCATAGCCAATAGTAGGAGGTTCATCCCCAGAAACAATCGGTGCAAAACATGCACATACCACCATCAAGGTAAGCCCAAAAACCATCAAGCTTTTCGACATTGTTTCGATCGATAGGCTGATGAATAATGGTGTGCTAACAGGAGGAAGGAATGAAGATACATTGAACCGTGCATATTGAGTTAGAAAGGGTGAAATTTATACATAAGCTTTGCCTATAATAACGCACCATTCAATTATTTCTCTGGTGCGCCTTAACACACGCTGTTGCAGTGTGGGTGAATTTGGGTTCTAAATGTTTTGATTCACTAATTTTCTAGCCAAGTTCTAGAAGCTGAGCATGCAATTGTAAAATTTTGATGTAGCTATCTTCCATTGCCTTGCAGCAATGTAACATGTTTGTTTTTCTGTGAAAGAGATGTGCATAAACTGGTCAAAGGCAGTGAGAACTGAGAATCCAACACTAGGCAACTGCTACTTCCCAAAACAATCCTTGCACAATTATTGTTTTTTTCTTTTTTAATCTGAATCTTCAGCCAAAACAAAGGTTTTCATAATGAATAAAAAAAATCAATTATAATAAGAATTTTATTGGAACTTGTTGAAACTAGATAACCACGCATGGAGCGGTATGAAGAAAATACAAATTTTGGAATAAAAGAGTAGTGTCACTCCAAAACTTAAATTACAAGTATATTATTATAAATAGAAAAGATCGTTACAAATTAAATATGCTCAAATTAAGTACAATTTTTTTATATTGCTTATATATTTGGCAGATATATAATTTTGTAAATTAAATTTTCATTATTCTATTATTTCAAAGTATTATATATAAATTTTATCAAATTCAATTTATTAGCCTAATGAGGTCATCTTTATTATTAATTATATATTTTAAAAAAATATTTAAAACGATTAAGATTCTCAAAATATTATATTAATATAGCTATAAACTTGTACTTTTTTATTTTTTCTCATTGAAAATGTTTTTATAAGAAGAACGTATACTTTAAAGATGATTTAACATTATATATCTAAATTGTAAAAATTTACTATTTTTAGAGGTTCATTTTTGTGATCAAGAGTACTAAACTTATAAATTAAAGGGTCAATGATTATTTGGAAAAAAAAAAAAAATTATTCCTTATCTATCAACCTATAACATTACTATATACTTGGATTATTGTCTACTTAATAATGCGTACAAGTTATAACCTAACAAATTTCAAAACAACCTAACAAATTTCAAATGTATTGAAATTTGAAAGAGTGTTTCGAGAGAGCTATCTGCATTTTGCATTTCAAGTGTTATTGTGTTGATGTTTGTTGTTCTCCCTGCAACAAATTTTATTTGTAGTCTTTTGGTCCCTTAATATTGGTCCATGTTCTTTGGCAGCGATCCATGTTGTCCACCCTTGTTATATTCATGTTCCATCATCATCTACTTCATGTTGCCCACCCTTCTTATATTCACATTTCACCTTCATCTACTTCACTTCTAATTGTTAGAAAAGTTAGTTTCAGCTTTTTCTTCTTCTCTAGATATGACGTTCGCATAAGAATTTAATGTTTGAGGTAAATAGACACGAATTTGATTTTAGAATATGAGCTAAGTGAACAATTTACCAACTTACAAATCTATTAGCCTACAATGTTATTAACTTGCTGTTTTTTTTTATATATATATAATTTATAGCCTAATAAGCTTTTAATGTGTCAAAACTTGATGTTTTGACAGCTGTTTGTAGTTTCCAAATTCAGTTGCTATTGTGTTAATGTGTATTGTTCTTTTTACTATATTTAATTGTTGTTGTATTGATGTGTGTTGTTCTTTCTACTATAACTTGTATTTATAGTCTTGAATTATATGTAATACTTTATGAAGGAGTGCTAATAACACTCTTTCGATACTCTCTTTTAAATACTTATTCAATAAAAGTGTTTGCATCAAATAATAAAAAATAAAAGATAATTGATGTCCTATGTTCTTAGAACATTTTTAAATTATAAGTAATCTTATATTATCTAAAAGACCAAAATACCTTTTAATTATTTGTTTACCTTTAAAATTATATGAAAATATGTGATGTTGATACTTTTCTTGAACAAATATTTTAAAAAATAGTATTAAGGAAAGTGTTGTTAACACCGAACTACTCCATTACTCCACATTCATTGTATTGATCTACATTGTCTACGCTTGCTATACCGACGCTCCACCATGCATTTTGGCTTTATCCCTATTGTTAGGAGAGTTAAGTTCTAGGTGTTTACTAATTTGATACCCATGCTACGTTGCGGTTGGACAATCATTATATATGTAAGATCAACGATTAGTATGGTGTAATGCGGGTAAAAATCTTATTTCTCGTAATTAATGTAAATCAAATCTATTTGCTAAGTAAAATCGTTTGATTTATATATATATATTTATTAACAAAATAATCAATAATTTTAGTATGAAAATTTGTATTTGAATAATTGAAAAGTTCTTTCAAAACATTATTTCAATTATTTTATTTAAAAAAAATATTGATTTAGAATATAAAAAGTTTGTTATTGTCGTTATGTGTACGGATACATAACTAATGTTCAAAAAAATTATATATATATATCATACTTAGTAAATTCAGAGTATATAATATAAATAACTTAAAAAAAAACATATCTAATTTGTATTGAATATATTAAAGTCAATAAATTAAAATAAAAACTACTATAAAATTGGTTTCCATAAATTCTACTTCTTAATTTATAATGAAAGAGATTCTTGAATTGAAAATTAAGTTATAAATTATTTCATCTCATTTTGAGAAATGAATTAATTAATTCTTTTGGCTTCAAAAATAAATTATTTAATTTTTTTAATCAATGTTGACCATGAATAATTTATTTTTCTATTTCACAAAATGTCTTTTTTCATATTTTTAATTTTTTTTCTTAGAATAAAAAATGAAAACATTGAAATAGTAAAAAGGACAAAAAAAAATTAGTTTTTGAACCAAATGGATTAATTAATTTTTTTCCCAAAGAAAGAGGGACTAACTTATAATCATTCTTGAAGAGCAAGCGGCTTTGGCTTCCTACCGAAAATAAGAAGAAAAAAAAGTATTGAAAGAAGACAGAGCATTAAATGCTCAATCTAAAAGGAAAAAAAAAAAAAAAGAAAATGATGAAAGAAAGCTCAAAAAGAAAATTAAAAAGAGAATAAGTTAATGATAAAAATGAAATTTCTCAAATCCATCGAGTGGTAAAAGAGAAATTAAGAAAAAGATATAAAGCAAAAAAATCAAGTAATATGATGAATAATAAACCTAAATCTAAAACAAAGTAAATGAATAGTAAATATTAGAAAAAAGAAAGAAACATTGAAATAAGACAGAGCATTAAATGCTCAATCTAAAAAATAAAATGATGAAAAAAAAAAGCTTAAAAAGAAAATTAAAAAGAGAATCAGTCAAGAACAAAAATAAAGTTTTTCAAATCTATCGAATGACAAAATAGAAATTAACAAAAAGATAAGAAGTAAAAAATCAAATAGTATAATGAATAATACACCTAAATATAAAACAAACTAAATGAATAATAAATATGTACGTTTTGATAGTTTGTTGTTGTTAATATTTTGTACCTGATAACTTCCCCAAGTAAGGGGCCTGCATACTAGTCCATCATGGAATAGGCATTTTGACTGGATACTTGAATGTGCCAACAAGCCCACTACATCTACCAACACACTATCTTGAGGTTTGATTGGCTTTCGGGACTGGTCCAATTTTTGGGAATGACGAAGTGCTTCCAAAATATAATGACGATTTACAACATATTGGATAATGTCTGCTTACTTCCAGCTTCATTTGCGATTAGACGTTTCCTTCACATCTGATTTGTGCTTCTTTTTTTTTGTTTTAACCATTCTCTACTTGTTTTTCTTATGGTAATAAATCAGTTTTCCAGGTTAGTTTTTTTTTCCCCTTCTCATTCTACAGGTTCTACAGGAGGACGAATAACCCAAATTCCCATCTACCCTACCGATATTTGAACCTAAGACCTCATGGTAGAAATTCCAAGTTTTAACAATTGGAAATAGTTTTCAAGTCTTTTCATTGTTTAGAAATGTTTTCTACTTTAGATCTTCAACAGAAATAAGGTCAATATATATGCTACCACAGCCCGTGTTCCAAGCATTATGCAATGTTAATCAAAGCCGAGGCACTCTAAAAGAAATTCCTCATGGTACAAAGATTTTCATAATGAATAATAAAAAAAAAATCAATTATAATAAGAATTTTATTGGAACCTGTTGAAACTAGATAAGCATGCATGGAGCGGTATGAATAAAATACAAATTTTGGAATAAAAGAGTAGTGTCACTGCAAAACTTAAATTACATGTATATTATAATAAATAGAAAAGATCATTATAAATTAAATATGCTAACATTACGTGCATTTTTTTTTATATTGCTTATATATTTGGCATATATATAATTTTGTAAATTAATTTTTCATTTTTCTATTATTTCAAAGTATTATATATAGATTTTATCAAATCCAATTTATTAGCCTAATTAGGCCATCTTTATTATTAATTATATATTTATAAAAAAACAATTAAGATTATCAAAATATTATATTAATATAGCGATAAACTTTTACTAATTCATTTTTTCTCATTGAAAATGTTTTTATAAGAAGAAAGTATACTTTAAAGAAGATTGAACATTATACATCTAAATTGTAAAAATTTACTATAAAACCTTACAATAATAGTTAGGACAAAAACAGTAAAAAAATTGAAACTAAGATGTTATTTTTAGAGGTTCATTTTTGTGATCAGGAGTACTAAACTTACAAATTAAAGGGTCATAGATTATTTGGAAAAAAAAATCTTCCTTATCTATCAACCTATAATATTACTATATACATTGATTATTGTCTTCATGATATCGCCTACAAGTTATAACCTAATTAGCTTCGGAGGTACTAAAATTTGAAAGAGTGTTTCGAGAGAGCTATTTGCAATTTGCATTTCGGGTGTTATTGTGTGGATGTTTGTTGTTACACCTCTAGCTCTCTTACCAATTACCTAAGAGGCAT